CTTTTCCGATAACTATATAAAACTTCATTTAAAGAAAATAATGACAGTCCATATTTGTACTTGAGAAATAGTCAAGAAGGGGGAAATTTGCGGAGTGGCCCTTCCTAGTTATTGTGACCTGTTTGTCACTGTATTCAGTGTCAGCATAGAGGCGAAAGGTTAGCATATCAACATTTAGATACTCATACTCAGTATACACGGCTCTACTTGTATCTCAAAACTGCCAGATGGTTTTAGACGGTAACACTTGCAATAATAGCTTATCATCTTGACGTAAGTAGGTCAATGTGGTGCCACGCTTGTAAACGAGAGAAAAAGTATCGATATTATGCATAATTTCTAGTGTTGACAAGTTTGAATGCCATTTAAATTTAAAGATCGAGACAATTGCTTAATTCATTAACTGAAATGAATAAAGCCCCTAGCGCATTTTGAAGATATTAATTATGAATGTATTTGCATTATGAAAGTAGACAAACTGAAGGCTTAACAGTTGGTACACGGAGGCTTCAATGAAATATTCTTCTTTGCCATAAAAACGGTCGGTGCTTGTGAAAAATGTTTTAAAAAATGCGCTGGAAGGATTATTCATCCCAGTTTTATCTTTAGATTTTCTGAAAACAAAGGCAATAATTCAAATGAGAATACATGTACAATCCGTTAAAATGTGCGAGGTTAATCATTAGTTTTAAATAAAGATAAAATATATTTTGACGATTTTAAGCTCAAAGCAAGATTTTTCCAGCAATTTGGCCAAGATATATCCTATCCAAAACTAGTGAGAAAATTGCGAACGTAAAGTCCGTTTTTGAATTATTTAATATATCATTTTAAATATTTCTGATTTTTTCCCTTCATGGGTGATCTCCATTACGAGAGTGACTGAAAAAACTTTTAGCTCAGAACTGCTATAGCGTATAAGTGGATATGATCTACCATGCTCACGTGATTCTATTTTAAGGTGCATAGGGTAGAAATAAATTTATTTCATGATTTATATCAATTTATTCAACAGAACTGTAATTTTATTACGAGTTATTGACCAAACATGAAACCGAAAGATTTATATCAAATTTTATATACAGATACTAGATGTATTATATACGGACACTATATGTTTTAAGTACAGATACTGAATTTTAACCAGTTATTTATTTTATTCAAATTTGCTGAGTGACTTATGTTAATAAGGAAGGTTTCTGTTGAAAATCGGCATGACCGGATAATTTTACGAAAGTTGCTGTATTTCATTTATTTTAAATTTTTCTAAGTGTCTAGTCTGGTGTGAATATGTATGCATGTACAATATGAAACGTTTTATGCTTATATATAACTAAAATTTGTAACATTAATTTCCTGAACAAATCTTTGTGTTGCGTTAAGATGAAGAGGCTATTTATGTAATTGAAAGTTGTCATTTTTTCTAAATTTTGCTGTTTTCTTACCAGCATCTTCCATTTCATCAACCAGGTGGCGCAGAATATTAGTAAAATGTTTATATTCTTACATTTAGAAAAATGAATATTATAACAGTTGCACACCGTTTGTAACAAGATTTCCTTTTTGGAATTAGATGAAGGGAATATTGTGATATGCCCATCGGATTTTTACCCAGATTTCATTCCTGTACATGTTGCATATGTTTTTATAATATATAAGTAGAGAGAGAGAGAGTGAGATAGACTGTTCGGAGATTTTGTAGATATTGAAATACTTTGTTTAGTATCAATAAGATCAACCATAAGTACAAGTAATTGAGTTCATAGTTTATTAATCAAATCGAATATGGAAAAGTTTGTGTCTTTTACATTTTCAAATAAAGCAGATATCAATTATTTTGTTCTACATAGTCAACGCTTGTAATGATGAACATATTCTGAAAAGACAATGTAGTTCAACAGGGAGATGCTTTAGAAATACATGAATACTTAATGTATATATGTTTTGCTCTCAATAAAAAACTTCTCAAATATATGCAAAATATCTTTGTATTTTCATTTGTAACTACACGACTCAGCGGTAAAGTCCGAGTTTGGGGGTTCGATTCCTGGCTAGGGTACTTGGAAATAAGGGGGACTTATAATTTGTTTTTCTTTTGGTTACTATAAGAAGAAAGTCTACCCGGGGAGGGTGGGTGGGAACAGTTAGAGGAGTAGGTTACGCGCTTGCCTCTGAGACAGAAGGTCGCCAGTTCGATTCCTGGCATTCCTGGGTCCCAGCAAATTACCTTTTGCAAAATAAAATCAAATAAGCACTTTGGATAACTACAAGAAGACCATACGATTTACTTAAAACCATCAGAGTCGATAGCTCACTCGGTAAGACGACAAGCTCATGAGCTATACGCCAAGCACGACTATGTGGAAAGCAGAAAGCCATGGGTTCGAGTTGAGCTGAAGGTAACGACAATAGTAAACACAGTATTGACTTTTTGCATAGTTTGAAAAGTAAATAAACGTTATTAAAATTTTACATCTTACACACATCTTACACAGGATTTCAAAGAACTGAAAATTGTATTTTTTTATCTATATAAATAGCCGCACCCGATACAACATAGCATTACAAATTTTAATTTAAAAAAAATACAAATCGAGCTTAAAACAACTACCACTATTTCCAACTAAAACACATAGGTGATTCTATGCATTTTGAAATTAGCTGCTCAAACGACTAATTCTTTTGATTTTTTTTCTTGAAAAATGTTACGGTGCACATAATACTAAGAAGAACATAAAATTCCCAGGGTTTTACCCAGAAATAATAAATAAATGAGAAGATTGACCGTGTAATACAGTAAACTTTTGTTCAAAAGTGACACCAGTGTAATTGTCTTATAAATGATTGCAAATTTCACGGAGGAACATTTTATCCAAATGCAGTGGCATCTACGATATCAAAAATTCAAAATGCATAGGATCTCTTCTACGTACTACCTCCACAAGCACTCAGGCACTCAGGACTACACACCTTATTCTATGTCATCATGCTGATTATCGCACGCAACACCTTGAAAATTAATTTTGGTAAGATTAGTGGCCCTTTGTATATGATAATTGTATATGTAGCTGGTATGTTGCGGCATTTTCTATCCTTCGCATCAAATCATAAAAAACGTGGTTGCAGTGAATGGCACATTTTTAGTGAACACTAGTTTGTCGTGCGAAACAAAGGCAGCATGAAGACATGATCAGTTTACAACCTAATCCCAGTTATAGCCATTTTTAAGAATTATATGCAACCACAGTGAAAAGTTTACACAAAAATCCGTTTTCTCAAAATAAGTTAAATCTCATAAACTTTATAAGCAAATTCTTATAAACTCAACTCTGGTCTTCAGTGTTATGTGATCAAGCAACACACAGCAAAAACAACCCAACAGGACTGATATTTAATCAGGACTTTGATCTAAATCACCTCTTCAACCCTACCAAAAACAAGGACGTTTATGTATTTTTAAATTTGTGTTATTATTTATTATTATTATCATCATTACTTTTTTCAAAATTTCCTGTTGACTTGTTTTTTTTTAATTATTTGCTGATTCCATTATTTCCATTTTGATAATTAGGAATATCCATTACACTTTGCGACAGCTTATGTAGTAATTAAAAAATGTCATCATAATAACACCTTCTATGATTTACTTTATTTCTTGGTGAAGATTTATAAATATGCTTTATGATATTGACTTAGTCTTGAATGACACACAAATTGACACTATGCTGGGAATTTTGGTAGTCTAATTAGAAATAAGTTTTTCTCATCAGATATTCAAGTATCTCCTCACTGTAATACATGTATATTTATTTCGAAAAAATCTATCCTACCCCCAGTTTCATAGCGTAAAAGCAATATTTTGTCCCCTTCCACCACTGACAATATTGGTCTGTCACTTGGTAGAAACTCGCTGTCAATACACCGAGAACCAAAGTTAGTTTATTCTTAGCTTGTATCACACCGCATATTCACAACTTTATTAAGATTCCAATACGTGTGGGCAAATTGTAATAACGTGAGCACATCTGCACTTTCATAATAGTGTAATTTCAGAAGTGTTATTATTTTTTTATAATATAGTGTTTTCAATAACTTGTAGATTTACATCTTGTTCTCGTCTTCAACTGAACACAGTATGTCTAGAGAGTTTCCTGTATGCATTTTACGTGATGGAGTCCTTCCAAAAGTTAACTTTATTAAAATGTCTTTTTTGTATTAAGATGAACTAGCAATTATTTTCAAAAGAACTTCGTCTTATTACATATTTGTCCACACGTTATTTTACAACCAAACAGAAAACCGGTCGTACTAGCACAGTGCTCTACCGTGGCTTACTGATAATTTTATGGCAATCACTTGATCATTTTTGATAATTTTGTAACGATCAGTTCATCATTTTGTTTCCATTCATCTCTTAACCAAGGCCAGTTTTTATCGACATCAATTCTGTTTAAGAGCTATTCCGAAAGTGTCGTTTCAGGTTCGAGAACTGACGAAGAGAGAGCACTGTACATGTACTACGACTTAGAAGCACACACACATATATATCGTATTACAGAGGCGGATCCAGGTTTAATATGAAACGTTTTATGCTTATATATAACTAAAATTTGTAACATTAATTTGCTGAACAAATCTTTGTGTTGCGTTAAGATGAAGAGGCTATTTATGTAATTGAAAGTTGTCATTGGGCTGTGGGTCGGGACACGCTAAAGCATAACTTCTAAAATTTTTGATATTTTAGAGGGCGAACGGTTTAGAACTATGATTCAACTAGTCAAAATTCTAATTTCAAGAGGGGACCATTGGTGTGATTTTTTTTAGAAATCGAAGAGGGGGGTTTAGGTCCCACCTGACACCCCCCTAAATCCGCCACTGTATTAAACCAGCAATATTCTGGTTTGGCGCTTGGACTTAGTCCATGAATAAAACGCTCGTTATGTTCGATTCTTGGGCTGATACACGTATGGTACAAAATATTATTACCCAAAGCAAACAAACGGCAACCCTGTAAATTAACTAGAAGACAAACTTCGACAAGCAAGACAATCTTGACATGGATGCAGGCGCTGGTCACTCAAATCTATGTCTTTGATGGAAGACCCATCCAGGCACCCAGTAAGCGGTAGTTAGGAGTCACTGAAAATAAACAGAGAAATCCACATTAAAGTGACGATGTCTAAATGGTTTGATAAAGTAATAAACATATAATCGTCACAAAAATACAACGAAGTTATTTTATACACGACAATATAGTAGACTTCAGGTAGATTTATTAGACTAAGGCGTATCCCTCCATGAGGAATATCGTGATGATGGTAAATGTGCCCACACATGCATGCACCATCTTACACTTAAACCGGTCGTATTATAGAAGTGCACTTTATAGTAGGAGAGTTATAAAAAGTTACCAGTTCTCGGATTACGCAAATGTTTTATTACGGTAAAATCTGATAAATAAAACGTTTGAGTGACGGAAATAAATTCTGATAAATATTTGACAGAAGGGTCCGGTTGGCTGACTAGGATAATTCAACTGTTTGCTGTGTGCAGGGACGGAGAAATTAGTTTTGTCTCGTTTCGTTCGTAATGCTGTTAATTCCTGGAGGAGTAAGTTTACCTCCGAAGCTAAGGAAGGGATATGCGCCCTCCGCCCCACCCACCCCACCTCAAACACACACACATGAAAAACGCGGATGGTAACTACCCTCTACCAGGGCCACAGTTAGATTTTTCATTAGATATTCACAGATATGTCTCTAGTTAAATGATAGGACTTTTCTGCACAATATGCGCACCTAGTAGGTTGTATGATAAAAGTAGATCTTCTTCAAATTCCAGTGTGCTTACATAAATGATATCGTATTCCATAAATGATATAGCAAATTCAGGCCGTTTTTTAAGAATCAAATAATAAACGTAAATATTTTAATAAAGATTAGGAACGAAAATGTAATCATGAACACTAAAGTCAAAGGAGGAACACAGTGCCAACCAAATATGTTTGTTGTCAGTAAACAGAATATATTTTACACTTGAAAAAACGAATCGCTATCGTCTAGAATGAAAAGAGTGCCATTAAGGAGGTATGGATGTATTACCTGTCCAGTCGTAGTGTTTAAGACGGATTTATGCGTTCAGAACTTTGGACAGCTGGAATACACCGTCACTTTTTTATTGGCAAATGCTCTTCCTCTGGAAAAATAATAGAAAATAATTTAATTAAGCTTTAAGTTCATTTTGCTTTGAGCTCACTGAAACAGGGTCCTGAGAACGATGTTGTAGGTTTGCTTAGCCCTCAGCGTATTATACGCAGTACGGCAGCGGGGCTGTACATGCGTATCCTCCCCATGGAGGCGATATATATATTTTATTATTTAAAAATATTAAATATTAAATTTTGGACTTCAAAGCACTCACGCCAATGGCCATTATGCCTAAAATAGGAAATGCTCCATTTTGGGGGAATTTCGTCAACGCAATGTATGCAAAGTAATCTTAGTAATCAGCACAGTACTTACCCAAAATTGCTGGAGTTTTCAGTGCCTAAATATCGTTCTTTATGTGGGAATTGTAGCAGTGTGGCATTTGAGGCTCCTTTTTTCACCATCTTCTACTGACCTTGGACCTATCTGAACACCTCTCACCAAAATACTCGCCTGGATTACATAATAAGGACACTTGACCACCTTCCGATCGGAAGCCTCGATTTAGTCTTTGTTACTAATAAGGCGTGTACACGGATTCCTTTTCCCAGTAAGGCGATTCGCGGTTTCTGAAATAAAAATGGTTAAAATAATCACATTTTGTCAGTCTTAATACTTGATATCAACTGAGCAATCAGATTTCATGGGTCGAATGAATGAACAATAAGGCGCGGGATTGTGGTAGAGAAGACAGGACGTGTACACACACACACACACACACACACACACAGTTGGTGTTGGATGGTCGGCCCGCTGAAGGGCCCCGGAAATTTTTGGTATTTTAGAGGGCGAACGGTGCCATTTGGTACGGTTTAGAACTATAATTCAGCTAGTCAAATTTCTAATTTCAAGAGGAGACCCCCCTGACCCCCCTATAAATCCGCCCCTGTTAATATACCAGTATTAGAATATTAAAAGAATGGTAAACTACAAAACTATCGTCTTTATAAAAACTTTGCACTTTGAATTTGACCAAATAATTATTTATGAAATACATGAATTAGAAGACCCGTTTATTGGCAGATGCGTAGTGAAGAGAAACTATAACCATTCATATATCATAAGACAGTTTAATGGCATAATTGAATCAAAGCAACTCGCATTTCCTTTATTGGATATTTTCTTAAAATGATTAAAGTGAGGAGAATAGGTCCATTTTGCAGGGTAGAGGTCTGTCAGAGACTGAGACTGAAATACTTGCTAGGGCTGAATATTTTCTGAACGGTTACTATTTTTCTGTCGTAGTTCATTCACCAAACGGCACTGGGACACTTTTGGAATGTCTTTAATTTTTTTAGAGTTATAAACCTGTGACAATAAATTATGTGAATGAACAAATATCATTTGTTTAATGCCATGCTTTTAGCCAGTATCTTGGTAATAACTTCAAAAGTTTTCAATCCATGCCTGAGGATTACCTTGAAGGCACCAACTGCTCTTGAGGCCCACCTTACAGAGATCTGTACTCATATTGTGGGGTCCAAGGAATTGCAGAAACACCATTTCTACCCTAGAGATTTTGATAAAAATTGTAAGACGTAATCTGCAGACCATGAAATGACTGTCTATTTATCTAAAGTCAAATCTGTGAATATCTTGCGAAAAATCAATCTGTTGCCCTGGTAGAGGATAGGCCTTTAAAAANATTTGGATCAAAACATATATATATATATATTGAAAACCTACACACAATGTTCACATCAGAACATCAGCATTAAAACCTGAGCGAAAGAGGAAAGTCAGAAAAGAATTTTACACAGCGAGCAACAAGAAAGGTAAGCCAAGGAATATGGTTGTATTCTAAATATGTTTTTTATCCCACCCACCCCTTCCCATACTCAATACTTTTCACACCCTCTTTTGCGCCTATTGCGCTTTTAGACATTCCACTGCCTAAATCATTGGGTGGCGCTTTTAAAAATTTCCCACCTTTAATAATTATGTAGAGTATGTATCACAGACATCTCGCCGTGTACAGATTTCTCTTTCAGAACTTATCATGGAGCAGTTGGGCCTCTGGGCCCACGGAATGCTGGTACGCATTTCACAATCTGTTACACTCCGCTCTTTTACTCCTTTTCATAAAATTTTTAGGGTGACTCCCATAAACACCCAACATAAATACATAATTATTAAACATAGCAAATAATTTTACTTTTCAAATATATTGGATTTATAAATAATGTCAAGGATAATGTCAAGGATAATGTCAAGGATAATGTAAGGATATGAACACCTATAAATAAGGAGAGATCCTAAGACAGAAGTATATATAGTTGTTATCATTTATTGATAAATAATTGCTTCTAGAATGAGAGTTGTTTCTAAAGGAAATCATAGTGTGTACATTTTCAAAGTTAACAGAGATTTTAACAACACAAAAAATTTCTAGCAATATATATATATATATATATATATATATATATATATATATATATATATATATATATATATATATATATATATAGCTGAGGTGCTGCCCCTGACTCCACACTTCACTCACCTCTTTCAGGGCAGGCTGAGCACACTTCACTCTTCAACTACATAACCACTAACATATATACACAGAACATCTGTCTGATATTATATCATATTATTATTAATCTTATATCTTTTTAAAGCAAAGGCAAAATTATATTATAAAACAAAACAGATGTTTTCTTTGACCATGTTATTTAAATGTCTACTTAAAGGCAAAACAGTTGAAAGTACATACAGTAACCAAGGTAAAGGGGTGAAGCAAAATTAAATATGCAAGGGAGAATTATAGAACTATGAGTTAAACATGTTTGTGGAAATATCATTCTACTGATAAAGGTGTCTTGATATTTTTAATGACAAATCATTGTTGGAAAAGGATCAATTTGTATTAAACTTCTTTGAGCTATTGCAAATCATCTTCAAATTTGTTTAATAAGCCAGCTATAGACTCAACCTGGGTACCAATGCCAAACTGGTATTGTCTACACCAATGTAGCTATCCACATCAAACCCTTTGCAATCTGTTTCAAATAAACTTCTGGTGAACTTCCTGGTGAATTATCCTATTTGTAAAGGATATGAACACCTAGCCAGTACACACTATACCTGGCCTTGCTGATTACTGCCACTTCTACAGGGGTGGATTTAGGCCGTCTTCTGGGTCTTCCAGAAGACAGTCAGATTTTCAAGTTTACGTTGACAGATATCTATTTTTTCTGTCGGAAGACGGTCAAAAATGTAGGATGGATCAGCAAAGATAATTTGGAAGACTGTCAGAAAATATCTCTGGATCCGCCCCTGCTTCTATGCAGTTTGCCACAAGGTTGCCAGGCAACAGAGAAAGCAAAGCAGCCAATCACTGGTCCTAAATGGTCATGTAATGCAAGTATTGAAGAATGGTTGTATGTGGCTTACAAACTGTAGAGAGAGAGAGAGAGAGAGAGAGAGAGAGAGAGAGCTTTGATGACAAGACTCTGTAACTATGTTCCCCTTAACATATTCTGTAATAAAAGACATGACCTAATAATGTTAATTCCTGGCACTTTAAGTCATACAAGTACATATATACACAGAGTAAGTAATTATTCTGCTCATAAAGTCAACATATGATGGCAGTTTTCCAGGGCTGAATACTCTGCTTTGTTGTGTGTGATCTTTGGCTCACACTTACAGTGTCTGAGGTCACGCTGGATTAGCTTTCATGTCTTGGTCCAATGGTAGACACTTCAATAAAGTCTGAAATACTGGTTACTTAGACAACATATTATTTAAGAAACATACCTGGCTAATTCTCACTATTCATATTAACTTATATTAACCTGAGAGAAAATATCAGTTAACTAAATTAAATTACTGAAAGTGATATGTTTAAGGGATTCAAGAACAATATCTTTTGTCCATCAATTATGTTAAAACATTTATTACTGCTTACTAGGTGATATACTATGTAACAATGTATTTCTTTTGACTCAGGATAAGACAAAGAATGAACCAGGAGAAAGCCCTGATATGAGCTTGGTGTGTGTTAATAATGTAAAAGCACTAGATAATTGACTTAGTAACCTAACACCCCATTTCCATAGATTTTTAGATCGATCTATCCCTGTGGGGAGTCTCACTAGATTACTGTCAGCTTGGCCGGCTTAAGCGTCTGTCCCGCCTACTAAAAGCTGTAAGGGGGTAATTAACTATGGTGCCTGCTCGGCTGACTGCAATTTAGCGTGAACCCCCAGGGAGTTAGGTCGATCTAAATTTTAATCTTTAGATCGATCTAAATCTCTGGGAAAGCACCCTAAGTGAGAACAACATAGGAAAAGCCACACCACATGGTACAACCAACGACCTGAATATTAATTCTTCAACTGCCAGCTACTACAGGTAACAGCACAGGAAAATAAAATCCAACTTATCTAAATGTTATTAATTTTGTTGCTCAATTGTACACAGCAACATAATTTAAATATAAACCTATTCCATAACTATATATTTTTCTTTGGCTTAATCTGCATCACTGAATGCTATTCACAACCTATTACCGTGCAAAACGTTTGCATTCTTTACTACAGTATACATATTTGAGTAAAAATTCACTGTAAGTCATACAGCAGAGAATGCTGTGATTGTGGTAGTGTCTTGACAACAGGCAACAACACAAGAAAACTTATAAATAATATCATCATTCATCTTGCTGCCATTTAAATAATTGGTGAGCTGGAAGCTTCCTTTACGACAAGGTGTGAGGTGGAAATACATGTAGGGGACATATTGAACACCAGCTTTAGAGAGCCTACCTCCTTCACACAGCTGCATCACCACCCACAGTTCATCTTTAACCACAAATGGAGTGTAATAAGACACCACATTCTCATGATGACACTGGCTCATGGCTTGAATTTCTTTCTACAAATAAAACAAAACAATTAAAAATGAACAATCTCCACATTGCTAAATTATGCCTGACTAGTCCTAACAGTGTTGGGATAACAATATAGGAAAACTGGCATAAATATAGACACCTTAGACAAAAAATCCTGAATGATCCTGCAAAAAATCTGATCATGTTGGTTTTTTTTTAAACTTGCATTTTTATTTTATTATTAAAAGCACTTAGGTTGGTAGATTTTAAGTAAAACAAAAGTGCAGTAAAAAACATGTACTTCTAGGGTGAAAGTTGCATAAATGAATAAGAATTTAAAAAAAACAAGGAAGAAACAAAAACCTTCATTAAAACTAGACAGCAAAGCTGGCAAATATACAGACACCGTACAAGAGACAAGTACTTATCGTTAATGTCAATCAATCATGCCAATTTTCAAAAGCAGCCTGCCTCATTACCAAACAAAGCCACTCAGTAAATTTAAAGTAAAACAAAAATATGGCTTGGCAGTTACGGAACGAACAAAATATAGGGTACATACTTAAAAGCTGATTATACAGTCTTTTGAACTCAATTGCTGTTTGACTTAAGGAAAGCTGTAAATTTATTATTAATAAATTGGCTGAAAAATGAAACACATTCCATGGTTAAAACTGGAAATGTATTTCAGACTAACTGAGACAAATCTAGGGTTTTGCAAGGGGTGGTGGTGGGGAGA